CCCCAAAACCCCAAAACCCCAAAACCCCAAAACCCCTTTAGAGTTGATAAATATTGAGGGCGAATACAATATTTCTGAAAAACAATGGAGTATAGACAGCGAGTTATTTGTTCCAAGTCATTCTAGAGTTCTTGTTGTTCTGGTTGATAGCTGTGCTCAAATCAAGCTTATACTTAGCAACATTGCTCGAGTCTTTACTGTAGAAGAATTTCATCATTTGGGGTAGCTGTTCCTCTATTTCATTGTTCGATGAGAAATCTTGAGTCGCGTAAAGTCTTACGTTTTGTACTGGAGTTACTTTGTATGGGTGCTTCTTCACTACAGATTCATTAGAACATATTCAGATTTCAAGATATACGAATCTTAGCTTAAGCTGGTTTCTCATGTGATTTGAGAGACATAAAATCTTACCTCCTTTAATTACTCCAGATCTGATCCTATTATGTGAATCTAAGGTATTCTTGAAGTATGCTGCCTTTGGTTTTTCAGAAGAAATGGATAAAGACTCGATGGAGCTCTTAACCGCATGAGTCTTCCACCTTTCTGGATTACCAACTGTAGACTTCTTCTTGTTTCGAGAGGCTGCTCCATGTTTATTCTCTCTTTGAGGAGACCTACTAACACTGGGGTTCTTAGAAGAAGATTGTTTGAGCTTGTTCTTGATCCCACTAGAACTTATTGATTTTGATTTTGCCTTATTGGCATGAAGAGTTTTCTTCGGTTTTGAAGTAGTATAGTTCTTCTTTAGCAAATCATGCATCTTGTTAGTCTCTGTGTCAGTCAAGGCAGCTTGATGAACAGCAGGCTTAGACTTTCTTCCCTTACTTCTTAGTCTTACTGCTGAAGTTTACTTGCTTCTTATTGCTAGACCTAGTAGACATGCCTGCTGAGAATCTTGGTGATCCAGGACTTGTATTCCTAATAGTCTTGCTCTTTAGCTGTTCAAACTGGTTCTGGAAGACCTAGGTCGTAAAGTAACTGCCCTCACCTTGACAATGTCAACTATGGACTCCATATTTTGTTGTAGACCAGAGATTTGCTTCTTGATATCCTTGATTTCAACATCAAGTCTTTTCTCTGTATACTTGAGCCGGTCTTTGTAGTCCTGATTCTCTTCAAGAAGCTTGTTAATCCTTCTGTCTTGGTAGTCCAAGGCATACCATATGTCTTTCAGGTCTTGGTCTTTGTGGGGTACGGACATTTTTAATTGAGCCTCTTTTCTCTTCGCCTTATTTTGCCAACTCTCGTTCTCTTCTATAAAAATGTGAGGATGAACTGGATGGATAGAGCACATTTTTGGAGTTAGGCAGGATTTTAGATTATTTTGGCCAATTTTTTATCAGAAATTAGCGGAAATTTAGGGCTAATGATTGGCTAAGGAAATAAATTTTATCGAATCTCAGATGTATTTCGTTCTTTACGTGTTTTGAAGATATAATAATGCTGTCTACTTACATAGAGGTCGAGTCTGGGAATATCTCTAACTTTTGAGAAGGAATATCAGTGCTACAATACTCTGAACTATCAAACATTTTTGGGATCCTCTCACTTTTTTGTTGACTATTAAGAGAAAATGTTCTGAAGACTTGATGATTTCTCATGTTCATTCAATAAATTGTATTAAATGAGGGGTTTTGGGGTTTTGGGGTTTTGGGGTTTTGGGG